GCATACTTCGTCACGCACAAATATTCAAGGTAAACCATAAGCCATACACCAAATGAAGATCTCATAGTAGAATGAAATTCCTGACCCACGAGAGAAAACTGGCAGTGATCAGACGGCACAGATTACCTTGTGTATGCACTTGGTAACATTCTTATAAGCACCATAATTCAATTTTCCAGTACAGACACACCAGCGACTAATCTGTCAACTGTTGCAACGGCTGTTGTCCGTAAACGCCTACGAAAATAGCAGAAAGTCAGACGAATCATGGTGCGCAATTTGACCTGGTAAGAAGCACGTTCAACATTCCATCGAAAACGTGTCTGAATAATCATTTGGAATCAGTGCTCCTGCACCCTTTGTTTACTGAATGGAAAGCAGAATATACCTGACATCATTAACATGAGTGGAGGAATTCTCCGAAAGTAGTCGAACCGTGTGATGAACTGTCATGAGCTTGGACAATAAAACTACTTCAAGCAAATACGAGGATTACGTGAGTTGAATGTGTTGCTTCTTTCTCCGTTTTGGCAAGTAGCATTTTATCGTAATTTACATATTGAGTAAGAAATTATCAATAAATAGAAAAACGTTACTGATATCATTCACTTATTTCATAAATAAGTAACTATCACTATTTAAAAAACATTTACTAATGTTCAGTAATCCATGGGAGAAATCGTACCTCTTTGAAACATATTCACGTATGATAAATTATGTATAATGTTCATATGTAAATATGTCCACTGAAACTGGACCTGCAATTCACAGTTCATACTAATTTAATCAAACGTCCCTGGTAACTGCTTGTCACCACGAATCTACCTAAGCTAAGCATTCGATTTTGACTTTATATATATACAGTATGAAAAGAATTACTGAGCAGAAATTCATGCAGACCCAGTTCTTTTGTATTTCAGCCTTTCAATAATTCCCTTTCAAAAAATGATAATGCTTGTGAAGGTAAATACAGTTGACGGAATACTATAAATGTAATAAATTTATTATTCGATATTCAGTTTCAGTCAAAGTCACCATTAAACTTACATCTTCTGAGCTCGTCAAGCATTTTAGTTGGGCCGCGTCTTTTTTCATCTTCATAACTTCTATTTCCGAAACTCCAACAGAGTGTTTCATAGTGCAGTGCTCAAGCCCCTGGAATATTATCGGACCTAATATAATCAAATCCGATACTTACTGTCATCATCCCGGAATTAGTTTGGCTTTGATTACCATACAGCATAGTTTTAGTTATTCTAATCAATTCATTGAAACCCCTCGGTATCTGAAAATTATCAGGCTCATTATGTTTCAACTTTTGACCATTACTACTGTACCGAGCATATCTTTGCTTTGGAAACACCTACTGGAGGACCATTATAATTTACAGCGTATCATTTATTTGCTCTCTAAAGATTAACCATGTTGATGACTATGGTTCACGTTAGGCGTTAACCTGCAACTAGCATGCATTTTTCTGGTCCGTGGCCCTCATCTCGCAACCACATCGGATTTTACCTGCAAAACTCCGGCGGAATCAATTATCTTCAGTGCAACTCATAGATTCAGATGTAATAAATCGGGCAAGGATCAAGCGAATGAAATAAAAGGTTTCATTTACCTCAGAAAAGTGTTTGTTTCTTGAACTGGATTGAACCGACATGATCACTGCTACTAAGATACCAAATTTCGTTTGAACGACGTTTTATGGGAAGTTTATTGGTTGGTAAACAGTGAAGTTTATTGATACCCCATGTCTTCCAACATTCCCAAACGAAACATATTGGACAAGACTCCATGACGAAGTGGAATACGAGCCACTGTATTAATGATCACAATTTTAACTGAGGGAAAACCTTTTTGGACGAACTCATGCGAAATATTTGACAAATGCAATAATGGACTACTTCAACCATGGTGACCCACTTGCCCAACAAACAACACCACCAAAGGCTATCCGCTTCTTCATAGAATGACTTGGATTAAACAGTGGTCGTAAAGAGCATGAATCAGGAATTACTTCTGTGTTTGGTTGTACCTACATGAATAAGACAGGAATTAGCTGTAACATCCCCAAACATATATGGCCACGCCCATCTCTATCGGGGAAAGTATTATTGCTTGCTCGGATTATTCTTCCTGTCTTCGCAGGTCGTGTACGTACAAACCCCACGAAAGAAAAACGCAATCAGCATATTACATTTTTGACAACCCTAGTAACGAGGCCGAGTAAAATGTGCAGGCTGGTTAGTTGAGTGATTATGAGGCATTTTGTGGACACCAGTGATCGACATTGATCGTCATCTCACTGCAGTAGTATAAATGGTCTTTCCAAAAGTCAGTCAATCACGATGTTCTGCGGAAAACTTGTATCATCATGCAACCCTGGAATTCAAGATGGCAAGTATATACTGGCTTGTTTATGTAGCTTCGTTTCCATTGATTAGATCAAACAAGTGCAACCATACCTTACATACCTACCACAAATGCGACACTGTCGTGACGTCCAAATATCCATCGGGAGTGAGAGTGGTCGTCCGATCGCTCTTTATTACATCTTATCGTCGGGGTCATTTCAGATGTGTGAACCATTATGACTGTCGGTGTGTGAACTTTGATGTCACCGTTATATTGCCCAAGTAAAGGGTGAACACTGAGTCCATATAGCTGACGTTTGGAGTTGAAAAATGAGACAAATAACAAGTACTACATCCTGAAAGACTTGAGCTGCTCAGAGTTGTATTAGATAAGCCAACGGACAAACTTTCACGGCGTGTGCAGTTTTTCTAGGCAGATCGTGACTGAAAAGTAAGTCGAAGAAATCACTCTTTGATATGTAAACGGGTTTGGAAACCCTCACCTGTGAAATTGGTCAGATGGCTTGCGTGATACCTCCGAGTTCCATTCATCAAAATCCACCCACCAGAGACCTTGGGGAGTGAAGTATTATCTATCGATTTTTCGCTGCTTGTGGCACATGTACTGGCCTCCAAACCAAGTTTATTTTCCTCCTCAAATGTTTTTATCTATTTTGCCCTCGATTTTACAATGCTGCGATGAAGCAACCGAAACCAGAGCACGGAATTTCGGGGTTTATAACTGCAAGACGAAATGAGCGAGTTAGATTATTTATTTCCTCATTCACCAAATGCCGGTGGCAGGCGAAATCTTTTGGTCAAACAATGGTGACTGTTTGCTCTGATTACTGCGAAGTCCTATGGGAAGACAAATTGCGTGAAGAACAAGAGGAAGGAAAAAACTCAATGGTGTATTGGACTTAGTGTACAATAAGTTTGAGTGAAGCATTCACATGAAATTTCACTCATTTAAATATTTCAGGCGAGACAGTTTAGAGCCAAACAAACAGAGTTCTTTACGTTTGTGATATATGGCAGGCAGAGGTTATTCATGTGGTAACTAACAACCGAATATATGAGGGCTCTCATGAAAGCACTGAAGAGGTATCTCAGACAGCTAGATGAACTCAGGCGATTAGCATATTGATCCCCAAGTGACTCTCAATTTCCAATCCGACATGATTAAACCAAAATTTCCGTTTCAAATCAACCTTTACTGGTTTACATTGGAGGTTTTTACCAAAGTAACTTCCCTCGAGTTGAGACAAACATGGAATGGGGAGAAAGAGTTTTCGCGACCACGGTGGTAGAACATGCATCACCCGGCAATTTAGACCTCGAAGTTTCGGGCTAAATTCCGATCACAACCAGTTTCTTACTATGCCCATAGCTTTTGTCTAGAAGCCTTCCCTTTTCCACGAATATTGCACATTTCTGTGTAATAAATAGGCGGATACAAGTGATTATTCATACGCCTAAATACTTTCATATAGATAGAGGGATTCATTCATTCCATAAACCCATCGAGCTAGACAGATGCATTTGTAGATTCAGTTTTAGATTCTTCATAAGCACCGTGAATGTCTCATATTACCAACGAAACTGTTTCTCAGAGCCTGGAGTGTTATTTGGAATGGGAATTTTCCGTACCCATCTTTCGTATTCGGTATTATTATTGTAAATTTAAAAAACTTGCTAAATGTTCTTAAGCTTTAAGAGAAGCGTGCCGGAACGGTCATTTTTAGTAGGGAAGATGATATTAAATAGATGACTACAGTGATTTAGAAAAAAATTGGATTTTACCAAGAAAAGGGGTGAAAAATAAATATTCAGGTGGCTAACATAAGGAATTACCAGTCCATTTTCTTTAAAACGGTTCCTAATTCCTATGACAAAATATCAGCTTTCCATTCGTTCCTATTACAAAAATCTTCATGCACGCACCAGCGACATGCAGCAATTCAACCATTCCTCATATGGCAAGTGGTTCACACAATCCAGCTTCTACGCTGTCAAACCTAACACAGGATTTGGAAAAGCACAACTGATTGCTACCTAGTAATTATGTGCTTTATTTCATTTTTGTTGTAATAATTCTACGTTTTTGAATGTCTTGTCTGGTCCACTAGGAACCCAGTGATATTCTCCCGAGGTCTTAGGACTCAATGTTTTAAACACAACCCTGAGGCTTAACGCATACCGGTTATCACAATTATCAGTGCCATGGAATGGAACCTATTTGGTTGCTGACTAGGCAAAAGCGGTTGGGAACCGTAGTGGTAAACTAAAATTTATTCGTTGTTTCTTTGTTTGTTTGATTCTGTTTCTTCTGTGGGATTTGCTGTTGGAAACTAAATTACTCAGGGTTTTGATTTAGAATGTTCACACTAGCATCCCCGTACATAGTGGGTTCTGGTTTATTATCAACCTGAATTTAATTCACAAAAGTTCTATTGTTTTCTACAGTGCACTAAATGGGGTTAGTCCATCAGATGTTCCTCGGCATTTCCGAGTAGATTCCTGCTGACAGGCGTTGTTGTGCCGACTATAATCATCTCCAAATATAAATCTCCGCGTATTGGTTGATCTTCAGTTTGTCTCCATGTCTGACAAATGTCATTCCTCTCTATATTAAGTTTACACATGCTACGGCTATTGTTATTGAAAGCATTTGGTTTTTCTTTGTCCGTAGCTGTGGAGACATCATCCCTAACGGAATTTGTATGCCATGTAATCAAAATTCAAAATAAAGTACCCAGTCGGATTTCCGTCGTTCGTCTACAACCGGACGAAGTAGAATCTGCTGGTAGAATCCAATATTTCATAGATGAGAGTGCCGTCGAGAAGAGCGAAGTGAGGATTGATCCAGACAACGAAGAGTTGCAATTTTCCGCTATGCCTTCTCCGATGTCGATGGCTGTCACTGTTCGAGCTACCGCCAAAACAAGATTCAATCAACACGTAACTGCCGCGACGGTGGTTCGCGTCCATATGGTCTGTTTTGTTGGCTCACACGCCTGGGACACAATTTGAAATTTGGCGAATATCAAATTTATCAATTCAACAAATGTGAGTGGTTTGAATGTGTTTTGGTCAAAGTTGTTTAGACTTCATACATTTTACAATGGTGACATTCTTTCAAAACTCATAGGGATAGACGTACTAGTCACATCCAAAATAAATCATAATAAATTCCATTATAATTGACTGGAAGATAAGGCTAACAAGTATTCTGATAGAACGTTGTCCGCAGTTAGTTACTTCAATTCAGTACATATAGTGGCAATTTATTTTCCGAAGATATGAGCTCTACGATTGTCCCGGAACAGGCTTATTCAAATTGCACTGGGTCTGTTCTCAAATAATCTTAGACATGATGGACTTACACACTTAGTCGTAATGTGACTACAGCAATGTAAACTAAACAAATACGCACAAAAACTCGATATTAATATGACACATGAACCTCTTCCCAAAGGGAACCACGTGTTGAATTCAGCTACGCCCATATTCAATCAAACCCGGTTAAATCGTTGGAGATATCGTCCAAATGTGCACTCATTTCTATTCAGTGATCTGTTCTACTGCTGACGGAAGAGGATGAAAATGTATCCCACAATTCCAATCATTTGTTCTCATGATATAGTAGAAAATGTTCTTGGAAAACGTTACCAAAGACTTGTGCTGTAGATTCAGTCTAACTATACTGATAAGTTTTATTGAAAATGAGGGCAGACAATCCTAATCAACAATAGGATAAATGCTGAAGTACCTTATCCTAGATGCTGGATCATTCTTTTCGATCGATCGAAGCAGCAATGTTACAAATAAAACGAGAATATTATGATGAGCCTTTCTATTCACTGATGAATTGCACTTGATCAAGTTCGATATGCATACCGAAGAATGAAAGTCATGTTTCCCTTCTCCAAAAGATATATTCACAAACGAAATTATCGGTTAGCTCTCTTTCATCCAATGAAGCACTAGTATCACTGATGTATCAGTTTCCATTTCTCCGCCTTCCAGATTGACATAGCAGTGGTCGTCTTCGTCAACGATGAACCGGCAAATCCATTCATTTTGATTACTAGAAATTATTAGGTTTAAATAGCTGTAGAAAAGTAATTCGTGATGTACAAGGCAAATTCAAGGGGAAACTTTATGTAAATTTCCATGAACTCGAAGTTATACTGAAAATGAGGTTTGTAGTACCTCAATGGATTTAGAAATCACTCCTAGAGTAGATATTCAAAAGATCACATTTTACCACAGACGGAATATCCTCAATGGATGAAAATGAATGAATTTTGTTCGATAGTCTTCGTGAGATGCTGTTTGTTTTTCCACGTGACCAACAGATTCATAGCATAGTTCAAGAAGCTCTATCAATTCTACTATTATGGTGTTTATTTTGAACAAACTTATTGGATATGATCAATTTTATTGCGATAATCTTGAATCTACTACTCTACTGAATACGCGCGTAGATATTAGGTATAACTGAGATGAGTCGATTAATTACTGGTGATAAGCCTTAGAGCTCAGAAAGTCTCGTGCACCAAGGGAAGCAGGTGGAAGTTGAACATGGCAGTATTTTCACGTCGAGGGCTTCCACGCTTGGGTGGATAGCACCTGTCAAGCTAATTGTGACGATTCTCACCATCTCGGAAAGTCCCCAGGTGTTTACATTTACGTTTATTAAGTGAAGGTTCTTTCATCAATAAAGTGATTTTGTTTGGTGTTATACGCTCCAAATGTACCACACAAATAGAGCCACCAGATAACGTTGTCTGCCGACAAGCCTTCAGACAAACCAAATTCCCACTGGTTACCGCTGACCTGGATCAGAGTAAGATAGCCGATCTTTTTGGTCCACATCTGTGGATATTGTCGGCCTGCTTGATCGAGAGCGCCCCGATTCACGTCTCATTGGTGACCGAACAAATATCCATGCTCATTGCATTTTGCGGCGGATACTTGACGGTAACCATCACTCTTCTCGAAATAGAACCATCTAGTTGGTTAAAATACAAATTCAAGTGAGTGATAAACGGGACAAAAAAACACTTTCAGAGTAGTAGTGCTTCCCGCAGTCCAAGAACCAGACATATGTGTGAGCTATGGATATCTACATGCTTAGTTGCGCTAGTAAAGTTGCGCACGTCGATTCCTCTGGATTTTGGAATTGTTGAGACATGGACACGATTAGAACACCAACCGATTTGCAATTTAAGAAACGGCCGTCAGCAGTGGTGGATTGGTAAGCTAAGAGAAATGGAAAAAGCTACGTTGATCGGCGACAGCCATACCCATTTTCAGCTTAATCAATAATACCGGCCCAAGCATATTGGCCTTCGTCCAGTTGAATAAAGATTCTCATCAGGCTCTGATCCACATTCAAGGGTATCGTCTCGGTCTACCTGCATAGCATTTGAAGAAATATTTAAATTGCCTTTATACCCAACATGGTCCATGAGAAGCACGACTAGTAAATTTCCAGGTGTAGAAACCGATCTTCTGTCAGAAACCGAGAGAACCTATGAGGCATTCCAAACTGCCAGACCGAATCAACAGCCTCTGGCTGCTTTCGCAATCGGTGACTCATTGTTGTTTTCGAGGTTACAAGATCTCCCCAGCTAGATATAGTCGAAGGATATGTTGTGAACTGATGATCCTACCGACTTGTAGGCATGACAACAAGTCTTCCTGCGAGAAACACTGGCTGATAAAATTGGCAGGCTTCCATGTAAACTGTTTTACTTCATGATAAACCCCGCGTACTCAGCGCTTGCAAGCAGCGTGTGTGCGATAATAAGACGGGTTTTCGACCCGTGTTGTGTTGACTACATATCCACTGTTTTGGAGAAATTTTAGAATTTAAGTACACATTTCGTGGGCTCAGCCTCTCCGTTTTCTCCATGGAAACGTAACTTCCAACGCAGTTGATTGCATAGCTCTCAAGTGCTGAGGCATGTTTTTGCGTGTACTAGATAAAATCATGTCAACCATAAAGTCTGTGATCACAACAATCAAAGCGGAGTTCCGGCTTACGGCGATGATCAGCCCAAGCTCACCAGTAATAGGTGAGCCCTCTGTCTTTTCCCCTTCAAATCTGTGATTTACGCAGTCCTAGAAACCGGCTTTTGCTCCTGTATGATAGCGGTATGCAACGTTTGTCGGGTTGAAATTCGTCAAACCCAAAATGGGCGAAACAATGGTGCCTCCACACATATGGAATCAAGTAGATTAAAAACATTTCTGGACTGCTCGTAAGACTACTCAATCCCGATTGGTGGTCCTCTGGCAAATTCTAACTGTCAGACGCTGGTAAAGGACTGGCCGCATTCAACAACGGGCATTTTCCTATCGAGGAAACTTGAGATCCAGCGCAAAAGTTTCTTTATCTAGGCATCGGTATTTCATCCGATGGTCAGATACTGGATAACCGTCTCCCTATGTGCAGAAAACTTGTTTCAATCATCCAATTTTAGTCGTTCGTGTTGTGAACGTACCATTGGCTTATTTCTAAACAATTGAGTATAAACTGAACAAGAAGGGCCAGTTCCACATTGCTTTCCTGAGCGTCAACCACTTCTGAGGGAAGATAGAATCAATCAATGAAGAACAAACAACAACGCCTCAGCTTGTCGCTGTTGACATGCACAAAACCGTCCAACCAAAATGCACGCAAAGGACTGCTGAGTGGAATCCAGTCTACCAATGCACGCTCAGCTTCTATGGTGAAAGCAATCCCAACGCCAGCCTGACTACGGGCTTTAGATATCGAATCACCCGACCCGTGAAGAGTAGAGTGAGAGACTGAGGTTGTATCTGCGGTGCGAACAGTGGTCATAGAAGAGGGGTTTTGTGTGGATGTTTGGGAGACACAAGATACATCTTTTTCGAAAGTGTCAAGTGTTTTAGCGAAAGCAGCGTGCTGCTTTATCCGACTTAGTGTTCGGATGGTAAATCATTCAAGTAAAGTCAACATCTAAGCCTAAGAAGTGCATTTGATTACACCGAACCGCAGAACTACTGCTTTCTTTAGAGCCGCAATCACCCGTGGCATTTTGCATCGATCTTAAATCAAAAGGAAGAAAATTGGTAGGGCCTTTCATAGGGAAGGATACTGGAGGCTTTTGGGCGAATCATGCTTCGCTTATGCCCATATCGTCGAAGGGGTTTTCTTTGGGAACCTTAACCGTAGCCTTTGACTCAAAAGTCTGACCCACAAGGCAGTGGGGCATTGACCCTTGCGCGGGAACGTGACCGAAGTAAAGGTGAAGGAAATTGTTCTGGCCTGTCACGTGAGACCCGATTACTACGTGCATTTCATCTTGCCTTCGCTGGTGCTCTGTATCGACCGGCTTTTCGGATTCAGTCCGTCCTCTCTCCATGCACCGAATGGAGAAAGCGTGGCGAGTATGGGACAGTATCGTTCGAGCCGCGGACTCCTCAGCTTAGACGGACCATAGCTGCCTGATGAATTGCGATGATTTGTCTCATCGTCGAGAGAAACACCAGGTGGTCCAATCTTGGGTCAATCTAGTGCAGGCTTCAGACTGGTAAGCTGTTTCTCTCCATGCTTAATTGCTGGAGTGTCCCCTCCAGAGGAATAGTGTTTAGAACCAGATATTGCCCATCAGCTGCTTCAGAGATAGGACTTCGTCTGGCCTCTATCCATTGAACTGTCAGGCATGATTACATCTCCGGTGAAATGAAGCCATCCTGCACAGCCCATTGGGTCAAAGAGACACGCAAGCCATCACACCACGCCAAGGTGTAGTCGTCGTGATGGTTGTCTGCGTCGAATGTGTAGTATGCGTATACAAATTCAGACAGATGACAAACTTCAGGGGAGAAGAGTTTTACGCATTTCTGACAAACAGAGGTATACTTCAGTAGTGTGAGAACTAACATCGGTTCGGAGTGTATCGAAAACTCGATGCACCATTTGAGATTTTCTGGTGAAATTTCAATATTTTATTGTTTGGCATATTTTGACAATGTTAGGAGGTGATCCAAATGTA